AATCTCGGGGCGTGACATCATATGTGCAGATGGCGGAAACGGCATGGGTTTCTTAGGATAACCTGACATGCCTGAACCAGCTTGCTGTGAATATCGGCCATGTGTCGACGGTGATGCAGGAATCGGAGAGATCCTCTTTTGGATCAGTTCGGCGGGAGCTAGCAAGAATGCGCAGCGAGTTGGAGAATGTGCGAAGACAATCGCTGCATTCTAGACCATCGAGGCAGGAAAGGCAACTGATGGTGAAAATGTCTAAGCTTTTGCCAAGATAAGAGTGCATGGAGAAACAATGATCCCGAATTGAATGGCTTAAGGAGGGTGATCGTAACACGGCGTTCTTCCAAGCAAAGTCAAAAGAGAGAGCAAAAACCAATCGAATCATGGCTCTGAGAAGAGAAGATGGCTCAGTGATGTCTACCCAGGAGGAATTGGAGGTGATGGCCATATACACAGCTCTTTACTAGGAAAGAGGTACTTGATCTGGGCCCGATCCTTAGTTGTGTACCTACAAAGGTTACGACAGATATGAATGACCTTTTGTTGAGACCGTTCACAACATAAGAGGTTCAAGAAGCGTTGTTCATGATGGGTGCAAATTAGGTGCCTAGACCCGTTGGTCTAACGGTGGGTTTCTATCAGTTTCACTAGGCAACATTGGGGCCAAGTGTCATAGAAGCGGTGCTAGATTTCTTGAATGGAGGTCTTATGCCGGTGTCATTTAATAGCACTACCGTAGTGCTGATTCCGAAGATCAAAACTCCTCAGGAGATGAAACAGTTTAGGCCAATTTCTCTTTGCAATGTGATCTACAAAATTTGCTCTAAAGTTTTGTCTAATAGATTGAGATGTTGTATGGATGATATAATCTCTGAAGAGCAAAGCGATTTTGTCCCTGGGCGTCCAATTACAGACAACGTGTTAGTTGCTTATGAGTGCACCCATTACCTAAAGGGTAAAGTTGGCACCTGTGCAGTAAAGCTTGATATGGCCAAGGCATATGACCGCGTGGAATGAGAATATCTCAACGGAATCATGCTGAAGCTAGGCTTTCATGAAACGTTCGTCACACTAATCATGAGGTGTGTGACATTAGTTTCTTTTTTAGTTAAAGTTAATGGGCGCTTGTCATCTGTCAAAGACCTTCAAGGGGGATACGACAGGGGGACCCAATTTCCCCGTATTTGTTTCTCCTCTATGCTGAAGGACTTTCATGTTTACTGAAATCGATCGGCCCAATGCATCTCTCTAGGGGTGTTCGCGTGGGAATCCATGCTCCCTGGGTTTCGCATCTTCTCTTTGCATATGATCGTATCGTATTTTTAGAAGTGTCGCAGAGGGGGGCAGTTAGATTATAGGAAATCTTGGAGACCTACAGCCAAGGGTCTGGACACATGGTGAACAAGGATAAATTGGTAGTCTTTTTCAGCTCAAATTGTGATGAGCAAGTCAAGCAAGAGTTTAGGCATGAGCTACACATTGAAACTGAAGCTTTGTCTGACAAATATTTGGGATTGCCAACTGTGGTTGGGAGGTTGTCTACTGAGGCCTTTGATTTCATGGCCACAAGAATTAAAAAATTGGTTGGAACTTGGAGTGGTAGGGAGGCAAGTTGTGCTGGCCGCGAAGTGCTTCTTAAATCGGTGGCTCAGGCAGTCCCTACATACTCTATGAGCTGCTTCCGTCTATCCAAGACGACATGCAAGAAGATGAGATCAACAATTGCAAATTATTGGTGGGGGAGTTTAGCTGATAATAGACATATCCACTGGTTGAGATGGGATCGGCTAACACTGCATAAATCGACTGGTGGTATGGGTTTTCGAGACCTACATCTTTTTAACAAAGCAATGTTGGGCAAACAAGGTTGGCGATTGGTGACGCGGCCAGATAACCTATGTGCGTGGGTGTTGAAGGGAAGATACTACCTGATGGTGATTTCATGGGCAGTACAAGGAGGAAACATGCTAGCCATACTTGGCGGGCAATCCTAGCGAGCAGGGAAGTTTTAGAAAGGGGCATGATTAGGAGGATTGGCAATGGTGAGCAGACCAACATATGGAGAGACAAGTGGATAACTGCTCATTTTGATGCTCGGCCTATCACTCCTGAAGATGGTCATGCACTTACTATGGTGTCTGAACTCATGACTGCATCGGGAGTTTGGAATGAGGCACTCATACGTGATGTTTTTCTCCCGATCGACGCAAATGCCATTCTTAAAATCCCAATACTTCAACAAGATGATGACTGGTGGGCGTGGGAGCCTGAGAAGCATGGTAACTACTCTGTCAAATCGGCCTATCGAAAGCTATATGCGATGAATGGACGAAGAGATGAGGAACTACCGAGTGGCTCAGGCGATGATTCCTGGACAAAGATTTGGAAATTACCAGTGCCTTCGAAAGTCAAAATTTTATGGTGGAGAGTTCTCCACGAATTCCTTCCAGCAAAGGAAATCTTACATCGGAGGCGTATTGAGCCGATGGCCTTTTGTGAGTTGTGCGGAGCTGACACGGAATCTATCAAGCACATTCTTACAGAGTGCACTGCGGCAAAGATGTTTTGGCGAGAGGTGAAGATAATCACAGGGTTGAAGCTGCCTAGTCTCCATCCGATATCCTGGGCAAGCGACCTGCTGATGGATGGCTTGTGCAACAACAAGGAGCGTGGCATTTTCATTATCGGCATGTATGCATTTTGGATGCAAAGGAATCAGCGACGACATGGTGACAATCATAAACCAGTTAGTGGTGCGGTCCGCTGGTCACTTGACACAGCCATCGACTTATGGAACTTGAACAAACCGATGAATTCGGTGAAGGAGAGGAACAGTGTGCAGCAATGGCGTGTGCCGCCGCCTGGGTGGTTCAAATGCAACACTGATGGTGCTTTTTATCTGGACCAAGGGCAAGGTGCGTCTGGGGTAGCTCTCCGAAGCGACTTAGGTCTCTTTGTTGGTGGACGGGCAAGGTGGTACCCCCATGGCCTTGATGCATTGACCCTGGAAGCATTGGCTTGCCGGGATGGTGCTGTTCGAGCTCGGGATAAGGGGGTGCAACGACTTATTCTGGAGACTGGCAGTCAAGAATTTGTGAAGCTATGGAAGGAGGGCGCCAATCAACGTTCACAGATTGCGTCAATCGTCAGGGAAACTCGGGAAATTAGCTCTTCCTTTGTTGAATTTTCTGTAATGTTTACAAGTCGATCTTGTAACCGAGTAGCTCATGTATTAGCTAAGCAAGTTTCAAGTGATAATAGGCTGGGTGAGTGGCAGTTAGCCCCAACCTGTGTAGATCACCTGGTGACTTCAGATTGTAACCCTGATTGATCTATGAATGAAATGACCAAGTCGCAAAAAAAAGAACAAACAATTGTATTTTAGACACATAAAAAAGGAAAAGGAGCGTATGCAAGGTAGATTGGGATGATCCGGATATGACCATAATTTTTTTTTGTAACATTTGTGTTGAGGAAATTCTTGCTGGAAATAGATCTCTAGGTACCCTAGATTCTATAGAGGTTATAGAAATTTGGGGCAAAAGTATTTTTCTCAAACAGGGAAATAATATGCCCAAAATCAGCTAAAGAATCGTTGGGATAACCTGAAGATCTTGTATACTTTTGGGAAATCATTGTGGACCACTACTGGTATTGGGAGGAACCCAGGTTTCGGGGCAGTAAGATTGGTGGGAGGCCAACACCAAAGGTTAGGAATGTGTCATCCGTATGTTTGTTGTAGTTCTTTTTGAGTGTATGGAAGTGGCTAATGTATTTGTATTTTTTTTTGCTGTTTGTGCAGGGAACCACCGTGAGGGAGAAGAAGGGGAAAAAATTCGGTGAGGACCATCCCTGCTAAAACGTGACGAGGAGTGCAGCTGACAAGTAGGTCACCGTATCATTTTAAGCACACATATGGAAAACTAGATGCCCCATGGACAACTTATCAGCTGCACGGTTCTCACCACATCTGGTAAGGATGGTCCTCACCGAATATTTTTTCCGAAAAAGGCACTCTAATTTGGTCCTCCACACTGCTTGAAAGAAATGGAACTCATGTATCAGAAGAGCATGTCTTCGGCCTCTCTGCATGCATGTCAATAAACATAATGCAATCAGAATTTAACTAGATGCTTAGTTTACATACTATGCTATTTTTGAAGTTTCAAGACTTTTGGAATACCGAACATGCGGTACGGTAACGACATCACTCGTCACTTTGAATTTTGAAACATTATCGGCTTCTCAAAAAGCCAAACAGGCCCAACCAATTAGGGCGTCCTCAACATAGGCCTTGTTTAGATGATGGTTGAAAATCAGTATTTAACATTGTAGCACTTTCGTTTGTATTTGATAATTATTATCTAATCATGATCTAACTATGCTCAAAAGATTCGTCTCGTAATTTACAATTAAACTGTATAATTAATTATTTTTTTATCTAGATTTAATATTTTATACATATATCAAAGATTTGATGTGATAGAGAGAGAGTGAGGCCAAACCTCTTCGAATTGATAGCGAGAAGAGACAGAAGAAAGTTAAAATAATACTAGAAAACGCTAGTGCGCATGGCAGACCGAAAGGCAGCCGAGTGTCAGTGACCGCAAACTTTTGGGATTGTGTGCGAGACTACTGCTTGAACCAGCGCTAGCGAGATCGATTTTTACCTTCTCTCGTCCACGTGTGTAATAAGATATATTAGATGCTAGCTATTTCTACAGCCGTTGGACGCTCTGCGCTCCAACCAAGCCAACCAGCGGAGGTCAAACTCCCTCCATGCAAAAACAATGGACGAACAGCACAAAAAAAGTTAAAACAAAACACCATTACAAAGCATGTCGCTCAAGATTAATTCACGGCCAAACAATAGTATAAAACAGCAAATCAGTAACCAAATCCTCTGCGACAATGGAGTATCGAAGAAACGAATCAAGGGTAATGCTTTTCTTCTTCCTCCTAGCTAGCTACTGCTACTTTAAGAGTTCGCCTGCACTCACGAGTCACGACCGGAGTCTGAACGACCGGAGCCCGCGTCGTGGCCTCGGCGAGCCGGAGGTGGGGGCGGGGGTTGGGGCCGGGCTGCGCGAGGATGAGATCGACGGGGACCGGCTTAGTGCCTCTGGTACCTCCGGCTGCAGCGCCTGCGACCGGCTGAGCATGTCCACCATGGAAGGCGCCTGGTACCTGTGGACGAGGCCCGTGAGCTCCGTCGAGTCGCCGCGCGCAGTGGCACGCTGCCACGAGTGGGAGCTCAGCCCGGACAGGATGTAGGCGCGGCCAGGCCCGTCGTACAGCTGCGGGTTCAGCACGCGCTCCTGCATCTCCCGCAGCTCGGCCACCAGCGCCTGCGTTTGCTGGTCCCAGGACAGCAACGCGCACGACTCCAGCAGCAGGCGGCGGGCCTCCAGGATCGAAGCCGCGCGGGTGTAGTGGCCCTCCTCCGCGGCGGCCTGCGCCGCGGCCATGTCCTCCGTGGCGTGGACGCGGTGCCACTCGCGCTCCACCTGCAGGGACATCCCCGCGCTCACCGGGAACTCTGGGCGCAGCAGCATCACCGGGTCGCCTCCCACCCGCACCATCTCCGCGGTGACCGCGTCGCGGTAGGTGCAGATCGGCCGGATGAGCGCAGTGGACACGCGTGACGGCGGCACGCGCACGGTGACGAGGAAGTCCCTCTCCTCGTCGGCGTAGAGGCGGCCGACGTGGACGAAGCCGCCGCGGCCGTCGCCGTCCACTCCGCTGGCGTAGCTGCCAGACTTGATGGACGTGAGCAGCACGCCTTGGTCGGCGCACTCGACGCTGAGCCGCGTCTCCTGCGCCACCACGCTGAGGAGGCCGCCGATGCACTGCTTGAAGGCGTCCTGGATCGACCCCACCATATCTATGAATGAGAAGGTGCCGCTGGACATCTGGGCGACGGCGTGCGCATCGCCCTGGAGTCGTGGTCCATGCGAAGCCAAAGGCATGGATCGGGACGTGGTGCTCGCTCCCGGGAAGGATGGAGCGCGGGACGAGCGGCGCGTAGTCCGGCGCCGAGCCGCCCCAGCGGCGGGAGGTTGTGGGAGTCCACGCCGTCAGAGAGCAGGATGATGCTGCACACCGGGTTCCTGGTTTGCCTGTCCTCCACCACCCTGGCAGCTTTCCGCAGTCCCTCGGCGATGTTGGTGCCACCATCGGCGACGAGGAGTCGACAGCCTGCAGCGACTGCTGCTGAAGGCGGCGGTCATCCTCCGGAGCGGGAACAGCCTGCAGGCCGTCGAGGAGAAAGGCGACGACGGAGAGCCGATCGCTGGGGTCAAGGTTTTCGATCACGAACCTCATGGCGCGCTTCAGGGCGCAAGCTTGGAGCCAGACATGCTCCCGCTGACGTCGAGCACAGTCACCAGATCCAGTGGTGCTCGGGTGCGCACTCCACGCCGGCACATGCGGAGCCTTGAGATGGATCAAGATGGCAAACTGCTCCTGTGCCACGGACTCCTGAATTGCTGGGAATGCAGTGTATGTCGTGATCTCAAGCAAAGGAGGAATCTCATAATCCCCACCCCCAACTGCTGTTTCAGGCTGAAGATATATCTGCTCATCGTCATTGAAAACTGCTGGCTCCGGAATGACAAAGACTGGGAGCTCATCCTCCAGCGGATTCACCGACAGCATGCTCATATGGGGCCAAATCGATGGGTTTAGTCTCCCTGACCCATGGGCAGCAGATGCAGCCAGCTGAGGCCCCTGAAAAGGCAGCTCCTTCCATACAGCACGGCAGATTGGGCAGATTTTGTTGCCGTGCTGCACATTTGAGGAGATGCAGCTGAAATGGAACTTGTGGGAGCATTCAGCAGTGAACAGAGCTTGGCCGCTTGGCCGGACCTCATGGCGCTGAGGCAAATTGCACATATCTTCTGAAATCAAGAGAACTCAAAGTTAGAAAATGGCTACTCCTTGCTTGTACAAATACAAAGTACATTATTACAGAGATCAATGAGTGGATTTGGCGACATTGGAACACTTCAAAAACACATAAATTTTGCAGTGAAGGACAGGATATCCTGTGAACAGGAATCACAATACTTGCTTAAGCATAACACAAACAGATATCTGGATGTCTTGGTAACAGCGTAATGCAAGCAGGAATATAGACAAGCCACTGCGTTAAAAAAAAATATAGACAAGCCACACCTCAATCAACCAATGGCACGAGAAATGATTTGTGGTTGCAAAGAACATTGAGAAGCATGCAAACTCTTCAATGAAGTCAGAATCAGCAATAATAAGCACATAATGAAGTTTAGTAGTGACTAAAAGAAACATCAATGCATAGCACGTAATACTCATCATCTTCATATTAGCATGTTTCAACTAAAAATTACCAGATAAGAACCAAAATAAATTGATAGAGCTTTGGAATCAGGGAAGGTGGCCTCACAAATAACTGCATTAAGTACTAGTGGTAACACTGTAAGTGCTATTTCTTCCTGTATATGAACGACATCAGCATAAGAGGAGAACATCCTATGTAAGCCATGCAATCAATCAAGTCAACTTATAAAAGCATCTATTTTCTTCTGTTTCATTTCTATACATCAAAAATAAAAATGCTTCAAGCATGGGTCACTGGGTCAGGGCGTCAGGTATATTGTTATCAGGCTGGGATTATCCAAAAGCAGCACAAAAAATTAGATGCATCCATAAAAAAAAATCAGGTCAAGTGCAGACACATCAGCAAGAGCTATCTATCAGCCCATCCCTCCATTATTCAGCTCTTTGCACATGGGAGGAAGGTGTGGTGCATCATATACTCTGGATATCTCAGAGGGCCAAGCTAGCAAGTTGTAACCATGCATGTTTCAGAAGATATTTGACACTGTCCCTCTAAGTTTGTAGGAGCATAGTATTACTTGAAGATAGGCATGACACATGTGTGATCTCTCAAATCATAATGTAGGTTGATGTAACAACAAACACGTCGTTTTTATATAGATTTGATTGCTGAAGGAAATCCATTATGTCTATTACGCATCGCTTTGCACAAAAACTATCAATATCTCAAGTTTACTTTCAACACTTCCATCTTCGAAGAAGTACAATGTGATATATCTCATAGAATCATACTAGCATACTATATGGAAATATTATTGCAACACGGTTTGAGTGCTTGGCTCAGCAGAATGATGTCAACACCAAAATATCCTTAAAAGTCATTTGAGCCTTATCTATACTAGGAGTACATGGCAACACCCATCAGGATCAAAGATAAACTTGGGCTGGGAATGACAAAAAGTATTGTTCATGAGATATGCAAAAATGGCGATCAGTACTCGATAAACTGCCTACGTGGGAATGCAATTGCACAAACAGCCGATTTTTTCTTTTTCAAATCACAGCTGGATCCTAGAAATAGAATAACACCAAAACTATTGCTTAAATAGACGATCACTTCCCTTGTCTATTAGTCGATAAAACGCTGAGTATAATGCGTACAACATCCACGGATTAAAAAAAGCTGGAAATCAAACATGAACAAGACATACACATTCAAGATCAATTCGATGACCAACAATAGAAAGTCTAAAATGCGAAATCAAAAGCTGGGAAAACCTGAGGTTGATGAAATGCAAGCAACCGGTTTCCCAAATCGATAACAAAAAAACTAAAAAGTCAAAATTTTCGTTCAAGGATGATGCAATAAACCCTGAACTAGGGTTTTTCTTTCGGGCTGTGTTAGGGTCCGGCCGTTCGGACCCGAACCATGCGCCGGCTGGGGGTACTGTTCATCTTCCCCACGGCCTTCCACGCCCTCGCGGTCGTCCTTTGCTCTCCTCCTCGTGCTCGCCCCCGCCCACGACCTCGCCCCCACCCCTACCGTAGCCCACCGCCCCCGCCGCGGCGCGGTAGGGTCTCGCCGGAGCTCCGCGGCCACGTTCCTCGCCCTCGCGGTCGTCCTCGCTCTCCTCCTCGTGCTCGACCCCGCCCTCGCCCCCGCCCCCGCCACAGCCCACCGCCCCCCGCCGTGGCACGGTAGGGTCTCGCCGCGCTCGCGGCGGCCTCCTTCTTCCCCTCCCCGTCCCCACTCCCGCCATCGCCAGCCATGCTCGCTGGCGAGCACCACCGCAACGCCCCCGCCCCGACCTAGCTCAGCCGCCTCCACCACCGCCAAGCCCCCTAACCATCCGACCACCATCCCCACCGCCTGCCGACCTGCCTCCCCCAGGCCCCTTCCTTCTAAGCCCACCGAAGATGGAGACGAGGGAGGGAGAGAGCCGCGTGGTGGGCTGCGAGAGGAAGAGAAGCAGTGCTCGCTCGTGAAGCATCCGCTCCATTCGGCGCGCGGCTCCTGTCCGAACGGGAAGATTTCCGGTTTCTTTCTAGGCGAATTCCAAAACAGTGGCACAGGTTTTGTCCGATACTGAAATAAGAGCAGAGAAGAACAATCACGCAGTAAAAGTTTAATACGTATGGGATTTCTAAATGTCAGAAGCCTGAAATGGAAACTGAAAAAAAAAGACCAATACATTTCTGTCGTATAATAAGGCTGTGTTTAGTTGGAGGGAAAGTTGGAATTTGGGTACCGTAGCATTTTCGTTTTTATTTGACAAATAGTGTTCAATCATGGACTAATTAGGCTCAAAACGTTCGTCTCGCGATTTCCAACCAAACTATGCAATTAGTTTTTTTTTCGTCTACATTTACTGCTCCCTGCATGGATCGTAAGATTTGATGTGACAAATACTGTAGCACTTTTTTGGAAGTATTTTTGGAACTAAACACACGCTAAGCTTGGGAAAACAATCACGTCACAGGAAATTTCCCACAGAACTGTGGTCCCAATGCCAAGCAACCTATATAGACAGCCAAAAAGACAAGAACAAGGCAATCCTACGCAAAATCATGAAACTAGTGGCGCATCTGATACACCATGAGCACCAGACAAAAACACACAAGGCGGCTGCAAGAGGCGAAAGAGATCTCACCGCTGAACTCCGGCTCCCAGACGACCTCGACGCCAGCTGCTCGGACGACGCCGGTTCAGGGGACACCGCGGCCAGCGACACCTCCCTCTCATCCGGCTGCTGTTGCTGTTGCTGTTGCTCCGCCTCTGTTGCCACCGGAAACGGCGCATCCATGTCGACCAACCCACTTGGCGCGTCATCGACGACCACGCGCCTCGCCGCAAAGCGCATGCAGAACCTGGTTGCGAGAGCGCGCTTGGCGCGCTCCCACGCCGGCGCCATTACCCCAAGAGCGTGAGAGTGTCACGCACGAAGGCGTCTCTTTTCTCTGTTGGAGCGGAGGATCTGGGGGGTCGAGCTCGATCTGTCCCGCTCTTCGCAGAGCGGAGTCCTTGCGGGTGGAACGGGTTTGGGTTTTGCGGCGAAGTGGCATGAGAGTGAAAGCAGGGGAGAGATATAAGGGAGGAGACGAAGAGGGAAACGAGGGGGATGAGGAATCTGTGGGGCAGTGTTTTGACTTGTTCTTCCCACTTTGCCCCTCTCAAAAGTAGGAATGTTTTCTGGTGCTGATTTTTTGGTATTATCACTACATTGTTGTTCAGGTGCTTATGGGGTTTGACACATCTGTGTTCTGTTCTAGGAATCTCAGTTATGAAAAGATGACGAAGAAGGAATTTTGTTGGTCATTTTTATTAGAGTTTGGAGTGAGAGATGCCACTGGAAATGTATGTGATTTAATTTTCAAGTCTTCCTTACATGTTCTTTTAGTAGAACTATATATATATGTATGAAAGTTGGATGACTCTTATGTGTTCAAATTGAAACTTGTAAAAGTATTTGGTTAAAAGTAAAATAGAAATTGAAGGTAGGATAGGGGTTGAATTGGAAGATATAGATTGCGTAACTCCTAAGTAACTAGGGAATGTATTTTCTTTCTTTTCTTTATATCGATTGATTTCTAGCCATTAGATCTTCTCCTTACCCCTTGAGCCCTAGACCTCACATGTTTCCTCAGCTCACCAACTTACCCGCGCGCCCTTGCTTATATCCGCCATCAAAATACATATCCACGATGTTTGCGTTACCATATCTCTTCATAAATACTCCGCATCCTATACCTTCCTTTGGCACACCTATCTTGAGCATTGGTTTCACTAGTTTGTATCGTCAAAATCACGCATAATGATACCTTTAGTAATGCACCGAATTGACTTTGTGCACGGTCACGTGAGGTAGTCACGTTTTCCATGTTGTGCATCCAATCCAGACACCGGTAACCATTGTGCCATTGGGATCACACTATCATGAAAAGATGAAGAGGGCATTTTGTTGGTCATTTTTAATTGGAGTTTGGAGTGAGAGATGCCACTAGAAATGTATGTGATTTGATTTTCAAGTCTTCTTTACATGTTCTTTCAGTAGAACTATATATATGTATGAAAGTTGGATGACTCTTATGTGTTCAAATGGAAACTTGAAAAGTATTTGGTTAAAAGTAAAATAGAAATTGAAGGTAGGATAGGGGTAGAATTGGAAGATATAGATTGCGTAACTCCTAAGTAATTGGGGAATGTATTTTCTTTCTTTTCTTTATATCGATTGATTTCTAGCCATTAGATCTTCTCCCTTACCCCTTGAGCCCTAGACCTCACATGTTTCCATCGCTCACCAACCCGGCCGCGCCCACCGCTATCTTGCCAAGTCAAAATACATATCCTGATGTTGCGTTACCATATCTCTTCATAAACACTCCTGCATCCTATACCTTCCTTTGGCACACCTATCTCGAGCATTGGTTTCACTAGCTGTATCGTCAAAATCACGCAATGATACCTTTAGTAATGCACCATTGATTTTGTGCCTGGTCCAGGTGAGGTAGTCACGTTTTCCATGTTGTGCATCCAATCCAGACACCGGTAACCATTGTGCCATTGGGATCACACTATCATGAAAAGATGAAGAGGGCATTTTGTTGGTCATTTTTAATTGGAGTTTGGAGTGAGAGATGCCACTAGAAATGTATGTGATTTGATTTTCAAGTCTTCTTTACATGTTCTTTCAGTAGAACTATATATATGTATGAAAGTTGGATGACTCTTATGTGTTCAAATGGAAACTTGAAAAGTATTTGGTTAAAAGTAAAATAGAAATTGAAGGTAGGATAGGGGTAGAATTGGAAGATATAGATTGCGTAACTCCTAAGTAATTAGGGAATGTATTTTCTTTCTTTTCTTTATATCGATTGATTTCTAGCCGTTAGATCTTCTCCCTTAACCCTTCAGCCCTAGACCTCACATGTTTCCATCGCTCACCAACCCCCTGCGCATGCTACCGCTATATCCCGCCATCAAAATACATATCCTGATGTTGCGTTACCATATCTCTTCATAAATACTCCTGCATCCTATACCTTCCTTTGGCAACCTATCTTGAGCATTGGTTTCACTAGCTGTATCGTCAAAATCACGCAATGATACCTTTAGTAATGCACCGTTGACTTTGTGCCTGGTCCTGGTGAGGTAGTCACGTTTTCCATGTGCATCCAATCCAGACACCGGTAACCATTGTGCCATTGGGATCACTCTATCATGAAAAGATGAAGAGGTCATTTTGTTGGTCATTTTTAATTGGAGTTTGGAGTGAGAGATGACACTAGAAATGTATGTGATTTGATTTTCAAGTCTTCTTTACATGTTCTTTCAGTAGAACTATATATATGTATGAAAGTTGGATGACTCTTATGTGTTCAAATGGAAACTTGAAAAGTATTTGGTTAAAAGTAAAATAGAAATTGAAGGTAGGATAGGGGTAGAATTGGAAGATATAGATTGCGTAACTCCTAAGTAACTAGGGAATGTATTTTCTTTCTTTTCTTTATATCGATTGATTTCTAGCCATTAGATCTTCTCCTTACCCCTTGAGCCCTAGACCTCATATGTTTCCATCACCAACCAACCCGCCGCACTGGCCGCTATCTTGCCAAGTCAAAATACATATCCACGATGTTATGTTACCATATCTCTTCATAAACACTCCTGCATCCTATACCTTCCTTTGGCACACCTATCTCGAGCATTGGTTTCACTAGCTGTATCGTCAAAATCACGCAATGATACCTTTAGTAATGCACCATTGATTTTGTGCCTGGTCCAGGTGAGGTAGTCACGTTTTCCATGTTGTGCATCCAATCCAGACACCGGTAACCATTGTGCCATTGGGATCACACTATCATGAAAAGATGAAGAGGGCATTTTGTTGGTCATTTTTAATTGGAGTTTGGAGTGAGAGATGACACTAGAAATGTATGTGATTTGATTTTCAAGTCTTCTTTACATGTTCTTTTAGTAGAACTATATATATATATATGTATGAAAGTTGGATGACTCTTATGTGTTCAAATGGAAACTTGAAAAGTATTTGGTTAAAAGTAAAATAGAAATTGAAGGTAGGATAGGGGTTGAATTGGAAGATATAGATTGCGTAACTCCTAAGTAACTAGGGAATGTATTTTCTTTCTTTTCTTTATATCGATTGATTTCTAGCCATTAGATCTTCTCCTTACCCTTGAGCCCTAGACCTCACATGTTTCCCTCGCTCACCAACCGGCCGCCGCGCTTGCGCTATCCCCGCCATCAAAATACATATCCCGATGTTGCGTTACCATATCTCTTCATAAATACTCTGCATCCTATACCTTCCTTTGGCACACCTATCTTGAGCATTGGTTTCACTAGTCAGATCGTCAAAATCACATAATGATACCTTTAGTAATGCAATTGACTTTGTGCCCGGTCACCGGTGAGGTAGTCACGTTTTCCATGTTGTGCATCCAATCCGCATAACGGTAACCATTGTGCCATTGGGATCACTCTATCATGAAAAGATGAAGAGGGCATTTTGTTGGTCATTTTAATTGGAGTTTGGAGTGAGAGATGCCACTAGAAATGTATGTGATTTGATTTTCAAGTCTTCTTTACATGTTCTTTCAGTAGAACTATATATATGTATGAAAGTTGGATGACTCTTATGTGTTCAAATGGAAACTTGAAAAGTATTTGGTTAAAAGTAAAATAGAAATTGAAGGTAGGATAGGGGTAGAATTGGAAGATATAGATTGCGTAACTCCTAAGTAACTAGGGAATGTATTTTCTTTCTTTTCTTTATATCGATTGATTTCTAGCCATTAGATCTTCTCCCTTACCCCTTGAGCCCTAGACCTCACATGTTTCCATCGCTCACCAACCCGGCCGCGCCCACCGCTATCTTGCCAAGTCAAAATACATATCCTGATGTTGCGTTACCATATCTCTTCATAAACACTCCTACATCCTATACCTTCATTTGGCACACCTATCTCGAGCATTGGTTTCACTAGCTGTATCGTCAAAATCACGCAATGATACCTTTAGTAATGCACCATTGATTTTGCGCCTGGTCCAGGTGAGGTAGTCACGTTTTCCATGTTGTGCATCCAATCCAGACACCGGTAACCATTGTGCCATTGGGATCACACTATCATGAAAAGACGAAGAGGGCATTTTGTTGGTCATTTTTAATTGGAGTTTGGAGTGAGAGATGCCACTAGAAATGTATGTGATTTGATTTTCAAGTCTTCTTTACATGTTCTTTTAGTAGAACTATATATATATGTATGAAAGTTGGATGACTCTTATGTGTTCAAATGGAAACTTGAAAAGTATTTGGTTAAAAGTAAAATAGAAATTGAAGGTAGGATAGGGGTAGAATTGGAAGATACAGATTGCGGAACTCCTAAGTAACTAGGGAATGTATTTTCTTTCTTTTCTTTATATTGATTGATTTCTAGCCATTAGATCTTCTCCCTTAGCCCTTGAGCCCTAGACCTCACATGTTTCCCTCGCTCACCAACCCGGCCGCCGCCCGCCGCTATCTTTCCAAGTCAAAATAAATATCCTGATGTTGCGTTACCATATCTCTTCATAAACACTCCTGCATCCAATACCTTCCTTTGGCACACCTATCTCGAGCATTGGTTTCACTAGCTGTATCGTCAAAATCACGCAATGATACCTTTAGTAATGCACCATTGATTTTGTGCCTGGTCTAGGTGAGGTAGTCACGTTTTCCATGTTGTGCATCCAATCCAGACACCGGTAACCATTGTGCCATTGGGATCACACTATCATGAAAAGATGAAGAGGGCATTTTGTTGGTCATTTTTAATTGGAGTTTGGAGTGAGAGATGCCACTAGAAATGTATGTGATTTGATTTTCAAGTCTTCTTTACATGTTCTTTTAGTAGA